CTTTTTGTGTCTGTTGCTGCTGCAAAAGCATCATGAAATCTGTGTAAATTATATCTCCATCTTCCTCTTGTCAGTTCTTTGTGCTCTTGCCTTAAAATAAAAATATCATCAGCTTATTAAGACAGGATCATCTTTCTGTTAATACATGTGCATCCCAGTCGATCAAGTAATATCTCAATAAGGGCCCCTCGATCCTGCTTCTGATGAGTTTTAATAACATTCTCTCCACCAGTGCTAGTCATCTTGTCAGCTGCTTCTTTCTGTCATCTCTGACATGGCAAAGCAATGGCTCAGCACTAAGTGATCTATGGTACATGAATACCTCTTCTCAAAACAACACAGCATGTGGATTTCAGAAATATTCAGAACAATGGCTCAATGATAAGAGATACAGGGTACACATTACATGAATGCCACTTTTCAAAATGGCACGGCGGGAGGATTTCAGAAACACTTAGCTCCTCCTGCTCCTTGAGGATCAATACAACGTACCCTGTTGATAGAGCAAATCAGCTAAGAGCTTCATGTAAAGAAACTGAATTTTTAACAGGCCCTTTTGCACATGCACACCACAGAAATTTCCAACCTACTGGAAGTATTTGCTACTCATAAATCTCTATTCATAAAACTCTATAAGAAACTCCTCTCAAAGTTTGCTACTTTTCTTATTCTCCATGCTGGAATCATGATCTCGAAGCACCTCTTATATGAGGATACTCTGAAACGATGAGGGATATGATACATATTCCCATACACAACAAATAAAGTTTTATAGCATGCAAAAAAAAGAGCGAAAACAGAAACTTCCCATTTCCATTCTGGAGCAAAACTAGGGCAGCAAACAACAGCTCTGGCAGTGCTCTCCTGATCTTGTGAGACCAGCCATCCACCAGTTCAGCAGCTTCTCCCAGCAGAGCCCCCCCAGCCCCAGGCAGAGCAGCATTTGTCACGAGTTGTGGCAGGGTGCGTGGAGGCATTGGGCGGTTTCTGCTGCACCCTTCTGCCCTGGCTACAGAGGAAACCTGTGCACACCTCCAAATATGTAGGGCTTCTGTCTGTAAAGGTGAGGGAGGATGAGTCATCCATCCTGGTGTAACTGCTGAGTCAGTAGATTCTGCCTCTGAGTTTAGCCTGTTCACTTTGGCCCCTGGGAAGAGGTGTTTGAGCCATCCGAAAAATACAAAAAGGCTTGACTTGTTGGAAGAAACATTAGTGATGGGGAATTTCTACTCTGAATTGCAATGTCCACATTCTCTTTGCATGCCCAGCATTTCCCTCCAACTGTGAACTGGTCCTCCAGTCTGCTGAAAAATGTATGTGGTTTGCAGTAGCTTGTAGTCAACAGGCTTCAAGCGTGTCTCTTTTTGAGCATAATGCTGCTTTGATTGGTCTGCTCTTGCTTGGTATCTTCTCTTCTTTTGCTGTACTGATCTCCAAGAGAGAGGAATGTCAAAAAAAAAGAAAGAAAAAAAAAAAAGACACACCAGAGTAGGGTAATTTCCCCAGGCTAAATACATTCAGGATGAACCCCTGCACAAGACAGTCTGATTAAAACTCCCCTAAGAATATTGTGTGAAGTGACTAATTCAGAGAGCTTCACAATGTTTACGAAGCCGGGGTCCCATATCTGAAACATACCCCTACTTTCATCTATCACAGGGTTTTTTGGCTCTGACTATTGCTTTCTCTGTGTAGGTTTTATATTTTCCTAGCTCTAATAGCAGAGATGTCTGCACAGTTGTATTTAAAGTTGTATCAAAGATATCCAATAATGAGAGCACACTTACAGGGAATTTCAAAGTCATCTGTAAAATATAATTTGGGGCTGAAACTCAGCAAGCAAAATCTCATCCCAGAAGCAAATTCCTCTGTAACATTAAGGGGATTGGGGATGAGGGGGGAGAGGGAAGAGAGAAAATTACTGTGAAGGTGAACAAAAAAGTGCTTTGTGGGGAAGTGAAGAGACTACCTTCAAAGGCCTTAGAATCCCAAATATTGAAGAGAATATGTGTGTAGACTTAAATGTGAGATTTTTCCCTTTGAAAGTCAGTTCCTGCTTAAGTTCATGTTGAGTGTCAAGTGTTTGCCCTTCAAATGAGCCTGAGTACTTATTTTCGAAGGCCTGATCTTCACCCCAAGCACTGACTTTTGCTCATAATTAGTTAATTGTGTGCAAAGTCCCATCTATTAAATAAACCCGTAAGTGGGCTCTGAGCACACAGTTGTATCTTAGTTTTCTCACTTCCCTACTCTTTTGGAGCACTCCTGCATGAAGCTAGAGTATCTGATTTATCGAAGGGTTCTGATCAAGAAGCTCATGCAGGACCTGTGCAGACAATTAAGAAATGAGAATCTCTTCTCACTATCAGTTCTGAGGAGAAAAAAAATGAAAGGCACTGCAATTGTTCTCCCTAGATTCCTTCTGATGTGTCAAAACAAGACTGATGACACAGTACTTGTGTGCACCAAAACATGACCCTAATGAAACCATGGTAATTACTGTGAGCCTGTAAGTCCCTTCCCTTACTTTCAAAGCCACAGTTTGTCTGAGAGAAACAAACCGAAGAGTGTAAACCAGAGTAACAGTGAGCAGAAATGGAAATGTGAAGCAGCAGTACCCTGCAAAGCCACACCAGGACACAGATGAACAGATAGTTACTGAGGACTTTTACATTTTCCATGATGGATTGACTGTGAAAAGGGAAGGGAGCAAGGCTGGACCAGTCAAGAACAGCAGCAGACAGCCAAACAGTGTTGGCCAAGAAGTCACCAAGACCGTACTTCCCAGGCAGAGCAGTGTGCAGGCCTTCAGCAGGAGGTGTTCTCAGGGGCAGAGGCGTGGGCGGTGGGGAGGCAGATGGCTGTGCACAGCCCTGCCCACAGCAGGAGCACAGAGCAGCCCTACCTGTGCTTGTCTGAGGGTAGCACTTGCTGTTATTTAGCAGAGCGGCAATTTCTCCAGCCTTTGCTCCCTGCAAGTGCCAGGCATAGTGTTACAGCTGTTCTACACAGAGAGGCAAAACAGGGAAAAGTTCCTTTCCCGGAGGGGTTATTTTTCCCCCATCCAAAATAAAATAATCCATCGGATGGACTTCCCATTAATATTGGCAAACGGAGAACAAACCCCTGGTTAGGACCATCCCAGACATCTCAAAGGAACTTCCATGCAGTTTTCAATTTAGGGTTAGAGCAAGATACCATTGCTGGGACGGATGGCAGCACCTACAACTACCAATAGCCATCCCTCTGCAAGGAGCTGAACCAGGCAGCAGGCAAGCCCTGCCCCTTCCCCACACAGCTGCACTCCCTGACAGCTGCCAAAACCCTTTCCGCATGCAGGGAATTAAGTTTCACAGATGCCTGTGAGTTCACTATTGCATCTATTCTGAGAAATTGATTATATCCAGGCTGAGGAGAGTAAGGCAAACACATGCCAGGAGATTTCACCCAAGGTCACATCACTAATCTATTGGAGAGCTTGAAATGGAGGAGCGATAGATCTGCTGGCTCCTACTCCTTTGATTAATAACCAAACCAACATGTCCCCTCTTATGCCCTGGTCTAAATCCAAATTAATTAAACCATCTATGGGTGTGAACATTATTAAATCAGTCGAAACCTGGCTAATATCAGATTAACTTGCACCTGCAAATGTAGAGCCACCGGTCAAACTGCCATAACCTGATTTTTAAATAAAAATGCACGAATGCCCACAGTAGTCCCACCAGCCTGGCTGGTTTGGTGTAGAATCACACCTCTGTAGTGGTGTGGTAGCACCTCCTTTGGCAGTGGTAGGAAAAACTGTGTGGCACACCGGAAGGGAAGAAAAGAAAAGCCAGGCTACGCCTAGTGACATGGGACTAATACAACAGGATGTAACTGGCAGATCTAAATTTCCAGTTGAAGGAGTTATCTCTGCAAAATATATAATATTGCAGCTGTAATTATTAGGAATTGGGATTATCTATTCAAACAGTTGAGTAGCCTAGGGAAGTAAACCATGGAGGGAGACACAGAGCCTCTAATTAAACCAGCTGACCTAGTTGGGAAAAACAGACAAACTATGGTTCTCATAAGCCCTTCTTTGGGTCTGAAATGAAAGCCACAGACTTCAAGCTAAGAGCAGGCTGGGAACAACTGCTCTGAGTGTTTGACCTTCTGCAAAGCTACTCAGCAAAGTCATGCCTTACATGTGATACCAAGTGTGTAAATACAGTTATCTGAATCCCACTGTACCTCTGTGTTTCCTTCACTTTACATTGCATAAAGCACAAAAAATGCAACAAAGCCCCTTCTTACTAGTCTTGAACATTATCATTTCATGGTAGCTGCTTGGTCTTGACCATCACCACTTAGACATACTAGGTCAATGTTTCCTGGCTATACTGATGTGCCTTGTGGGTTAATTACAAAGGAAGCAGTGACTGCTTTAAAGAGAAGTTCCTGTGAGGAATCCAGTGGTGAAAGAAGCCTGGCTCATAGAAGCACTTGAAAGGAAACACCAGGTGCCAAGTGCTTTGGTCTAGAGGCTCTATTTTCCTGGCTGTGGGCAAACATAGGAGTGAAGCCAAGAGGAGAGTCACATCAGTACTCAGCATCATTCCTTGCTCACTCCTTTACTCTGAAGATCCTTGTGGGTGGAAATTAGGTTCCCATCAGAGATAGATACTGCCCGAATTAGCAGCAAAAAAGTCTGGTCTTGCCGTCAGAGGTTCATTAGCATATAAAACATCTCTATAAGAAAGAATTGTGTCAATCTCTGATGCTGCGCTCCATTGTCTTCAGTGTTGCTGTGCTCAGGCAGAACAGTTCACCCACCCTTACTCTGAGATAATTCGCACTCAGATCACTGCAACGTTATGGAGGGAGAAAGCGGAGAGTGAGGGGCTGTGTAGGAAGAAAGTGCTAAAACTCTATGCAAATTATACTTTACAAGCGTGAAAAACAACTAGATGGAAGCAAAAATCAAGATAAATAGTGGGAGGAGAATGGTTAATTACCTTGCACTTTGCAAGGACTGTGTTAGCTTCAGATAGGCTCCCCTCAGTGTGGGATAGATAATTCCCAACAATATCACCACAGTGCTCTCAGAAAGATAACACTGAAAAAGGAAACCAATTTTAAGGAAAATATTGTTATTTAAAAAGACAGAGATTTCACTGTATGGTCATTTTGAAGTGGGCAAATTAACAATTAAAAAGGCTCTCATGTACCATAATCTCTGATTGTATTATTTTAATAGCTATCTCAGTACTGAAGATTCTCTTCAGTAACTAGAGATCTAATTTCTGTTAATTTTGTGCAACTCTAACAGAGCCTCTGATGTTCATTTGTAATTTACCCCACACCCCCACCCCATCATTGCTGCTTCTAGGAATATATCTCTTGAAAGTACGATGATTATCAGCGGAATTTCTCTACTAACTATAAGCTTTTACAGTCCAAACCAAAACTGCTGACTGGTTAGGAAATGGCCAGGAGAATGCATAACAAACACGACATCAGGAAACTAACCCCTTTTCCTAACTGTGCTCCACACCGTTTCACCATCTGGAGGCACTGAGAAAGTTGAAAATGCTCATACAAACCTGCACCCTGACATCAGAGCTCAGGAGGACAAATTTCAGCTCCTCTGACTCCCCAACACAGCATTACCTGATGTCATTGCTGCCTGTAACGCATGCATTTTAATAAAAATTCTTTATGTGCTTACATACTGCTTAGCCTAAGAGGAACTGAGAGACAAAGACAGACCTTTGCAGGTGTTAGCTGCTTCAGTAGATTTGTGTCAGTCTGGACCAAAGTGTTTACTCATGGTCACACACTAAATCTGTGGTGGAATGAGAAATAGAGTATTTCTTGCCAGAACAGCAAATTAACTACTTAACATTAAAACAACTTTCTTTTCTAATGGTGATACCAGTTACCACAAACCTTCTCCAAGGGAGGAGCATGAGAATGATACAGCAGCAGAGAGACACTGGGAACAAGACCTTGCTTTGCAGCAAAAGCAAGACCATTTAAAAAAATAGGTATTTCTTAAGAGTTAAAGAAGGGAAAACCCCACAGTGTCTTAAAATAAATACAGAAATCTACAGATACATACACAGAGTACAGTACTGTTCATTTATGTCTACTTGACTACTAGTGGCAGAGCCAACACAGAATCTGTTTTGAAACCAGTGGAAACAGGAAAAATAGGCAACTGTTGCAGTCTGTTCCAAAATGGTCATTTTACCTCTTGAATGAGCTAAATTCACTAATCAGTAAAGGGTTAAAGGAATAACAGAACCATATATCTTGCTAGGCTGGTTACAGCTAACCCATATACACAATTCCGGGGGCCTACCCTTGTTTCCCACTTTGAAACCTGACCTCACCACTCTGGCTTCTGTTACGCAGAATGCTAATTATCCTGCAGAAATGATACTGGAAAGCTCTGTGTACTCCCATGCTGTGACTTGAGGGATGGGTTTCAGTGCTTTAGATATCATTAGAGCAAGCCAAAGTTTAACTGAAACTTTTTAACATGAAAAATTACTGTGTCCCCAGAAATAAATTATTTCTTGTACATTTTTCATTTTATAATTTTTTGGGTTTGTCAAGTAAAACAATTTTTCACTTTTCCGGTTTTTGGTCTTCTCTATTTCTTTCTCCTCTCCATTTTTAATCCATAGGAGCAAGGAAAATGGGTAGATAAAACTAACATTTAAAAATGCTCAAAAAGTGGTAAGAAAAAGAATTAATGAACACCCAAAAGCTAAAACAAACCAGCTTTCATTTTCTTTGTACATAATTTTAAGAAGCTGACATTTTTTAAAAATATTTATGCTATACACTTTACCTCTTTCTGGGCAGCTCTGATCATAGTATGCGTTCTCCAGACTAGGAAAGAATTAAACCAGAGTTTCACTTCAAAGCCTGTAACTGAGGACAAAGTGTGAGCTGTATGTTTCCTAGCAATCCCATTAAGAGAATAATTTTTCTCCATTCTGAACGAAAGGATGGAGTCCATATGTCCACTGAAAATGTAGCTATCTTTGTGTAGTCAAGGATTTCCCTTTCACAGTTTAGTGTCAGAGGATTAGAAACAATGCAGCTAAGGATCTCAAAATACTTTACAGAGGTCGTTCAGAATAATTTGGTCCCCCTTCTACAAATGAAGCTGTTGAAGCACAGAGAAGAAAAGCAGTGCACTGGAGTCAGTCATAGAGCAGGGAATACTATCCCTCTTTCTTAATTTCTGCCATTATTTGCTGTCCATAAAACCTTATCCACAGACAGAGTTTTCAGGGATGGGTGAAGGAAGCATCCACTGACATTTTCCCTGCTACAAAAGAAGTTATGTCTCCTGGAAACTGCTTCCACTGGAAGAAGCCTTTCCAAGTTGGAAGGAACAGAAATATGATTGGGATTTTCAGCCAGAACAAGAATAGTCAACAAATCCTACATTGTTCCAATCTTGGGTAACATTTTGCTGGTACTTGGAGGACATGACAAGTCCCAGTGTTCATCTACCAAGACCTCAGTACTATAGTCAGATTCCCAAATAAGAAGAGGCACAGTTTTGCCCAAGAGCTAGAGAACTGATTGGCCTATGTTCCAAAATTATTGTCCAGGGTAGGATTGGGTGACTTCGACTTGCCAATTCACATCTTACAGCTCCAATTCCACACCAAAAAGCTGTGGATTACAGTAATTTTCCCGTTAGCAAGAAACACTTAGCAATTTCCCCAGACTGAGCCCAGCAGGAGATCCAGGTATTGCTGGCACCACCTGGCAGACTAACTTTATGTGCCTGCAAGTCTAAGAACTAGCAGTGATGCCAATACAGTACCTTTTTTCAAAAATGTGTGACTCTGCAATTCTACTGAGCTCCCCTGCCTAAAGGGAAATAACTTCAGAGAAGTGTGTGCTCTGGCAAACTGGGCGAGGGTAGAGCATGCCCCAGTTCATCACATCCTAGTATCTAAGACAGTCCCTGATATACAGTCTATTTATATGGTCTTCAGATACCCAAGCTCATGGTATATCAGAACCACCTGTTTGCATCGGACTTACGCATTACCCTCCATGGGAGAAATCAAACTTGTGAGTCAGGTCATGCAAAGGTTTTAAAACACTTCTTCCACTTCATTCAGAAGTCCTGATACAAAAGTCAGCTCTGAAGGACATCACTTGACTTTAAGATATGCCCTGAAGGGCGACAGTATGTCCAGAATCAATGACTATCTTGAACTGCATCATAAACATACTGCAGGCTTTTTTCACTTGTGACAGCTATATTGATGATAATTTCACATTACTTAAGTGCTTCAGACAATCATGTGTGAGAGGATGCAATAACGTGAGAATTGTTTATACAAAACCAAGGAGCAGATTTCAGCATTGTAGAATATGTGGCAGATTTTTCTCTTTGCTGATGAGTAATGTTGCAAGCATTACATAGCTGCAATCCGTACAGCTATACTGTATGTGTATGTGTCAAGTAAACAGCACTGCTGGGAGTGATGGGTGGTTGCAGCAATGCATAGCAATCCCCTCCCCTTGCATGGGTCAGGAGGTAATTTTGCGTCATTCAGAAGGGAGGAGAAAAATGGGATAGAGGGAAGAGCAGAGCAAGAAGGAGATGGACTTTACCTTTCCCTTGTGCTCCCACCTCTTAAGTCGAGCAGGGATTTTCCCTCCCTCTCTCTATTTGTGGAGGGCATTGAGAACCCACAGTACAGCAGGCCACTTTAAGGGATGGCTTGTGGAAAGCTTCAGCCCCCTTGGAAAAGCCACTGAGATCTGATTAACTGAGCAAGAAGGGTGGAAGTGTGTGTATCACCAACATTAACCTTGCTCTTGTATTCATATCTCCTACATTCACCTACCAGCAGGAAATCTCTCTTGCTACTGTACAAAAGAAATTTCAGTCTGCTTTGTAGTATGTATGGCTTACAGCACTATGATCCTTCCTCAAACAATGACATAAACTCTCCTAAACTATATTGCTATACAGGATCCAAGCAACACCGTAGTGGAAGCATATATATGTCTGCAAAGTCTAATAGGAAGAGATATATATTTTTATATCTGTGGGATTTATAAGGCACCATTTGAGAAGCACCTGGGTTTGTCCCTTGTTACCAGTCATCATCCTAAACACATAAATAGTAAAAGCTGAACAAGGTTCCACTAAGGCCTACAGCCCACTCAAGCAATAGGTTTGCAAAGGATACAATATCAAATTTTACTATAAAAACCCTATTTGGTTTTTTTTTTAATTATTATTATTAAAAATATGTTGCTATTCTTAGCTGTAGTTCAAAGGTTTTGTTTGAGAGTTTGTAACTACAAGACAGAATGTCTAGATGAGGTGCTGAAATTCATTGAGTAACCCCTTCAGAATGTTTCTGTGGTGAAAAGCTGCATTCAGCTGCTCCTCAATCCAGCATCACACACTAACCTGACAAGTATATGGTGCACACAGCAGTCCCTTGCTCAATTTCATTTCCTTGTGGTTTCTGGTTAGCAAGCAACAGTCAGGAGATGCCATCCCCCTTAACTCACTATAAGTAGCAAAGCAAATTCTCCCCCCTTTATATCTTGTTTTAAAGGTGAACTCCATCATTTCTGAGCAAACAAATAGCTCAAAAGACACTTCGATTCCCAGCATCTACTCCCAACATGTGCTTCATAATGCCAGGTTTTGTTCCCACAAACAAATCCCAATAAGTACCACTGTGCTGTTTCCAGTCTCATCTGACAGCAGTCAGTCCAGGCAGGGGCTGAGAGAGTCATTTCACTTAACACGCAGACCTCAGTGAATGCCACCATCTGTTTTTAGGTGGTTAAGCAACCCCTGCATCAGGTCTGAAAATTGCTGTCAAGTCCTGCAGTTTCTGACACAAGACAGTGTGAGCTTTCCGCTATGCCAGCCTTTGCCTACTGTGATAGACTTGCTCTACATTACACGAGTGGAAGAGGGAAGAGTCTGATCCATGGTGGCTTCCTCTGGGAGAACAGAGAGGCCAATGCTTCTTCTGCGTCCCCATGCACAGGCCCTCATCCTCTAAATTGCACTGACAGTGTGGGGGAGCACATGGTGACCTGGGATGATGAGTTTACATGGGTTTGCAAAAAATGAGGCAGAGTGGGGAATATTTTGAACCTAGATCAGTTTTGTCCCCTCATTTCAGCCTATAAACTCAAAACTCCATTCAGTTCACGGAGAAACTGATAGCAGAACAGCAAAGATGCACAAACACACTTTACGAACTTTATATGAATAATTTGCTTTCACTCTGTCAAGGGTCCTGTGTAGACCTGGCTTTAGTGTCTTTAGTGTATAGACCTCCTTGGACTCCTCCCCACCAAGCTACTACTTAGGGCAGAGTTCGTACCAATTACTCCTTGTTCCTGCAGTCTTTGCTTCTGCTGGATCAGGACAGGGCTATGGTGATGGGTCTGCCATAGCAGCCTTGTTAAACCACACTCTGGACATGCCACACGGAGTGTCCAGCAAAGAAGAGGTTTGAGTGTTTCACCACTCCTGAGCCAGCATGCACCTGAACACTGATGCCATCATATTTATCTATTAATTAATTGATATTTAATAATTTCTGATATACCCACAAATACAGTACTGATGACAGTCGGTAATCACATACAAGAGTAAGGGATGGTACATACACAATAACTCTGATGTCGTTCTCCAGAAATGCTAAAAAGAGAATAATGAAAAAGATGTCTGGGCATTAATATTCTCCAGGTGAAGAAATCACATAATATGTCCAAAACTAGGTTATTGCAGCAACTGCTAGACTTTCCAGATCATATTGGTGTTCTAAATATGCTTATTTTCTAACTTTTTACTACAGACAGGTGACAATAATTACATGATCATAGTTACGACCCAGATGTGGTTGCTTGAGGTACTTTTCAGCAGATGCAAGGGATACTTAGAGGCATCAGCTTCCCCCAAGCAGAGCTGCTGAAATTAGGACTGGCTTCTTTGCAGGAATTTAGAGGGTATAAATATCCACAGGCAACAGGTACTTATTTCTATGCCTGCAGGTAAAAGCAAGTGGTAATAGTAATTGCAAAGCAATACATTTCTAATTGCAGTAGATCACACCCTTCAAGGCTAGACTTTGAGATTAGTTTCTGAGTCCTTAAGCATACTAAATAGTTTTTCTAGCAAGATACAGTATGCTTTCAGCAACATAAAAGAAGGAAGTATAGACTACCTGGTTAAAAACATTTAAGGTTAGATGGGGAGGTATTGTCTCTCTCTTACACACATGCACACACAGGCACACGAAAATGAGCTTAAGACTTTCACATGCAGACCAAGTATATAAGCTCCCTTGGATAAAATCCATATGAAAGAGAAAAGAGTTAGTTGTTTAAAATTTTGCTGACTGTGAGGTATTGCCCGCTGTACCTCCATTGCATCACCAGGACCAGACGTGGGACAGATGTGGCCTCCTGACACAACAGTACACGGAGAAACAGCTGCAGCACCGGTGCCACAGTGGCCCGTCCCCGTCAGGAGGGCTGAAGCATGCAGCTGTGCTGACAGTCGCACAGGGGCTGAGCCTGCTGCCAGACAGAGTTAAGTCAGAAAGCAAGTGCTCACTTGCTAAGCCAGGGAAACTTGCACTCTCCATGGACCATCCCCGGAAAAAAAAAAAACAGAGACCTGAAACATAATTATTAACGTGTACAAGCTGGTTTTTTGTTTTTGTAAGGGTTATGATATAAGCAGTCCTTTTTTGAAAACCCCAAGAGAAAGGCTCTTTGAGAAGCTATTTATTTATTCAGTTTTATCCTGCAATTGTATGTCTTATATACCTTACCAAGAGTCTCATCCAGGATATCATCTGAGACTTCCATTTAAGTACTTCTCTGAATTAGAAAAACAAAATCATCCTTCTCCTGTATTTACATCCTCCCAATTTGCCCTTCATATCACTGCTTATTTAACCAGCTTAGCTGAAATACTTTTGTCCACTTCTGTTTTCCTGCTGTACTCCTTCAAACACTTTTTCTGGAGATCCTGTTGTCTAGAAAACTGGGATCTTGTAGCAACAATTAACTATGGGAGAACTGTGACCCAGACCCAAAATATTGTAATATGGAGCACAGGCCTAATACCACACACTTCCCTTCTCTTCTACAGCATGAGCTCTCTCATCAGATTGTGCCTCCAATCATGGGAGATTCCTGAGGTATTGGGCTTTTTTCAAGAGAATGAGTGGTGAATCACAGCAACCTTAGGCAACGCGAGGAAACAGCTTAGCTGACAGGAGAAAATGAAAATCAACTGACTTCCACCCCCCAGGAAGCACTGTCAGATGTGGACTTAAGGGGGAAGAAAGACACAAAGATGGTAACAGAGGCTAAAGGGGTTTTACTGCCCTACTGGCTTCTGCCTTTTCCCTCTTCTGCCCTTCCCCTACTGCCTCCTGTCCCACCCTCGTGCTGACGTCTCACACCCCCTTGTTGTTGCACACTGTTGAAGCCCCTCGCTGGCTCCTCTGGCTGTAAAGAGAAGCTGAGCACAATGCAACAGCTCTGCAAAAGAGTTTGTGTCAATGTGTGCATGTACACACGCATCGTGGTATGTCTGATGTACCACATCTTCCCAACTTGGATGCCAGTGACACGGGGACATCCCCTATTGCATGACTCGAGGCAAAAGGCATGTCCCAGCAGAGAGGAGCAAGCAAGGCTAAACCATCCTGTTCAGTTATGACTACATGAACAGGGTGGAGTATCTCCACCAAAAATGTTTCTATATTTAAGCACAGTCTTCTTAGAGGAAACACTGGGATTTCTATGGAAAGTACACACTTATTGCAAAAAATAGAAGGGTACTTTATCAAAAATCCTATTTTCCATAAGACTGCAAATTTTCACTCAGACCTACTCAGGTCTTGTTGACAGCTCTCAGACCGGGCTTTCAACAAATCCCTTCAGGCTGTATATGCAAGGACTCTTTACCCTGCGGAGTCAGAGAGCACCAGTGCACCACCACGCCAACCCCAACTGCCCTTTTCCAGACCTGGCCCAGGTGTGTCCTCCAGCCGAAGTGCACGTGGCGGCTGCTCTGCAGCTTCCAGACACCCCAGGGGACCTGTGATGGGGAAATAAGTGTGCTTCAGCTCACTGGTGACATCCAGACAGATAAAGGGGGGAAAGCTGGAGGAAAAGGGGAGGCCAAAACCTTCAACATGTTTGGTTGGCCCAGGGTAAACAGTTGATGCAAGCACGTTGTTTCAAGACCCAGCCCGGGAGCCTCCCTTCCTCTGAGCATCTCCACAGCAAGTAGCAGCAGCTCCCAGCATGGACAGCATCCATCATTGCCACAGGGCAAGTATGTACTCCCTTCTGCTTCTCCTCCACATCCTCTTGGGCAGTGGGCATTACTCTTTCTTCACCCACCGTGGAAATCTGCAGACGTTAAATTATACCCAGGAGGGCCTATCAAATACAAGAGAAGGCAAATAAGAATTATAGCTCAGAAATTTATATTAAAAAAAAAAAAACAAAAAAAAACACCAAACAAACCACTATATAGGCTACAGAATTAAAACAATGTCTTTTCCCAGGTTCATGCTGAGCTCTAGGTGCATGCAACATTTCATGCAAATCAGATGTAATTTACTGTGTGATTTGTTTCTTCAATAAAAAAGTGAGAATATGGAGAACAATAATTTTCCTACATTTTAGCTACACATTTCTCTATAAATAGCATAACTATTATAATGACTTCTTGTATGTGCTTGTAGAGTGATTGCTTCTGTGTGAAACAGAGAGATCATTTCTGTATTATGCCCAGGATGCTCCACAGGGTTCAGTCATAAGTGTATGTGTGTATGTGCACAAATACACATGCACACGCGCACATATATGTCACTAACAGATAGCACTATATATAAGTATGGTATGATGTATGCTATACAATTTGCATATGTGTTTGTGTGTATGTGTGTGCGTACACTTGTGCACGTGTGTGTATCAACCATCTTCCTCCCATTGTTCCTCTTCTCCAGAACCACCATATTCCTTCAGACGATATGGCAGTGAACCAGCTTCTGGTGACAAAAATAGGGCTACAGCTGCCATGGACTTCTCAAAAGTAAACACTTTTCCACCAAAAATGAGAGGCATTCCATCAGTTGCTATGTGGGCACATAGGAGTAGCCAGATCCAAAATACATCCATAATTAGCAATACCTGGCAAGGAAATATAACGGTGTCAATATAATGTGCAGTGATGTTGCTAACCAAAGACATTGCAAAATGTAATTCTTTTCCCATACCTCCTAATATCTCACAACATGAGGGGTAACAAAATGGCCAGGACAATGAATCCTTCAGTTGAAAAAGGCCTGATGAACAGTTATTCCCTGAGGTATAAAATTGGACTGTGTGTTAGATGAGGCATTGTCATAATGTCACCTTCCAAGGGGAAAAACCGTTGCATTAAATTTTTTTCTCAAATGCATTTTATTCAAATTACTGGTTTTTTATTACCACAAAAAATGTTTAATTGTGGCTTTGGATAAGGCAAATCCTGGGAAAAGAACTTGTGTGAATATTTTCTAGGATAAACCTTATCTACAGCATTGAAAAAATGATACAAAAGAGAAAAAGATACAAGGTTATGAAATGCAGAAGATGCTTATTCCATCTGTAAAATGGACCAGTAAGTTTAGAGACACACACAGGTGTATACAATGTATATGTGTGACAATAAATTTTTATAATAAGCCTACATGGAACATACATGAGAAAAGTAGGTGGATAAATTACAGTGAACTTCTGATATTATTATATATTAAAATATTTTATTACAAATAATTCTGTGACACTTACTTAGAAAACCCAGTTTGGGTGTGAGGTTTGGGAGGGGGAAGTTATTCTGGTAAAGCAGGGCAGCTATTTTCCCAGATGAATAGTAATAGGAGAATAATAAATTCTTGATTGCATTTTCTTGCTTTTTGACATTGTGTTTTAGATTTGTCATTTGTATATATTAATACATAATCAGCTTTGCAGTAAATTCTGTTTGGGAAACCATTTCTTGATGGTCTTGATAGATTTGTACATAGAAACATAAAGGCAGATATCAATGAGAGAGGCTTACTCAAGATATGAAAATTAAGAACTTAACTAAAAATACTGAGTTTATTGTAAGTTTAGCAAAAAAAAATGAGGAACCTGGAGTTAAACAAGAGACATAGAACATAAAAATCCACACTAACATTTGCTCTGAACCCAATATTCCAGTTTACTAAAAAAGAGACCACACTCAGGCAATGCAGGAATATGGATAATGATGCTTTCCATCTGGGACAAGGAGATAATAGCAAAGAGTCAGTGTTGTGCCACATCTGGGAAAGAGAATCACCAACTGTATGAGTGAAAGGCTGTATATCAGTCACTCTCAATTCCTATGGCAAATCTTCTCCTTCCTGACTCTTTCATCTCCCCATTACCCTCCTCTCTCTAGTAGCAGGACCTCCCAGACCCAGACAAAAAAGCTGCCCTGGATCTTTTGAATTTCCCCCATTACCTGATGCTCGCAGCATCTGATGCTATAAACTGACCCATTCCACTCACAGGCACAAGGCACACAAAAACAGTGCATGCCTTCTTCCAACGATGAGCATGGTTTTTCCACTCCTTCCTTCATCATGTTCCAACAAGTGCTGCAAGTTTTTTCCCCCTTGCCCAAGAGTGTCCACACAGGCTAGAATATGAATTATTTCAGACTTATAGAAATCTGGTTTTCCCCACAAAATCACATTTTTTGATTGGGATCTTGAGAAAACCCACCCAGACAAAGTCAAGGCTTCAGGTCAAGGCTTAAGAAGTTGCTGTCTGCAGGGAGCTACTTAAATAAGTAGCTTCAGATAGACACATAACTTTTAGATGACTAAAACAAGGCTGAATCTCATCCTAAATGCTCAGTCCCCCAACAGGAGAACTCCTGCAGCCGCCAAAGATCTATTAAGATGCTAGGAGGTCCACAAAGCCTGGTCACTTGGTGTCTCCCCTCAGGAGCTCATGAGTGCCAGGAGGTGAGAAAGGGATGTGAAACCTGTCTGCCACTCCCCTAAGCCACGCAGGTCAGTACTCCTCCTCTTTGTCTTCTTACTCCCCCAAACTGTTTTAAGTCTAAGAGCAGAGTAGGGGATACCACACTGGTTTGTTTCTGGGGCAAATCCCCAGAGTGAGAGGCATTTTCCCCTTTGCAGCATTGCTCTGCCAACTACTTGGCATAATATCACCCAGAGCAGGGCAAGCCTTTCAAAGCCAGGAGCTGAGTCAGCTTCTCTCCCGTTCACACGTTTTGCAGACGAAGATTTTCTTCAGTGTCTTTGCTATTTGAAATTTTTCATAAAATCATTTTATATATGAAGTGTCTGTGCAAAGATTTTGTTGCATGTGTTAAAAATTTGGAATTCCAGCTCTTGCAATGGTGTATTCTGCACACTGCATTTTCATAGCTTGATTGGAGCACTATGACTGCAAATTGTATTAACCTTGACAAGGGCCAAGTCAAAATTTGCTTCCTGCCAATAATTGACAGTGTGAGCTGAAAATTCACCACTTTGTTGGAACGTTTATGCCAGCAAATTGGTTTTCAGGTGTATTGCTGGTTTTCAAACGCTCCGGTAATGAGGAACATATTAAACATCTAGACTGATTTATAGGAAACGAACCCAGAACAGGTGCTGCTACCTCAGCCCAGGCTTATTTGCTTACAGAATATGAATAGAAATGTTTTATACGAAACTTGAACAGTGTATGTGACAGGATACCTCAGTCCATCTCTCTCAACACAGATGGTTTTCTTATGAAGCAATTTCTAGGTCTCAGGCTGAACTCTTTGTTTTCTGGAAAGGAAAAAAAAAATCAATTTGGGGGCTCCAATAGCTGGTAGACATTTTTATTATAGCTACAATGCAAGTATGTATTCAAAGGGATTTTTCAACACTCCTGAAGTAGTAGTAAACAACTTCTTTACTGCCTGATAATGCAGAGATACATACTTTCATCAAAATAAATCTTGAACAGGTTTCAGTACTCCTCCAAAATAGAAGTTCAGGGACTGGGACAGGAAGACCTTGGGAGGGAATAATACTTTATTGATTTACTTAGGTAACTATTTTCTTGGCAGTACTTAGCAGAGATGCAAAACACTTATTATGTGCTGACTGTAATTTTTTATAACCCTCATTTAAAATGATGAAGTGGATATTCCATGCTTGGTAGGGCTTTGTATGTTTTGCAAGACACAAGACTGCTTCCAAAGGCTGCACAAGCCCTGTGAGCATCCTGCCACAGATTTTCTGATGCTTTTCAGACTGTCTCTGTTTGAGGTTTTATCTTGACACACCTGATAAAGCACCTTCCCCATTTGTGGCCCCAAGAAAATATGTCCCCATTCCACTTACTACCTTTGAAATTAGGAGTAATAATATATCCTCTATACTGTAGCCATTACAAAAAAAAATCCTCCATTTTCCTTCCTACAGTGGATGCAGGTCCCACTTACTCTCCTTAAAAATCACAATCAGTCACAAAGAAGGGATTTGGGAAGCAGCCTATTTACAGCAGACACCAAAAAGCCCTCTCCACCCTCCTTTTTCTCAAGGAATTACCCAGAAGAAAAAACTAGCATATGTCCATGTCAAAACGTCTTGGAAATCATCAGTTTTAATTCTGCAGAAGGTCTGTCAAAGTTTCTTTAAATAATTAATTCATCTGCCCCAAATGCTAGTGCCACTGTCATTAACTGAAAGAGAGGATGCATGTAGACACCTTTCAGATAGGTAACCTTCTCTGTGCTGGCCCCTGCCTCCCCAAGCTTGGAAAGGAACAAGGCCACCAAGGGAGCAAACTGTTAACCTATTGGAAAGATAACATCCCAACTCATCCTTGTGATAAGCTGAATCCCTCCCTGCAAGCCCTTTCCATTGGTACAAAAGAAGCATCGTTTGATGGGATCATGCGTTGTCACCTCCTGCAGCTCAGGGCAGTCTCAGCTTGTGCCACAGGAACAAGAGGCAAGCAAGAGGAAGTTTTCACTTCCCAGAAATTTGAAACTTTCCCATGCCTGCATCAAATGTATAAGGGAAGGAAACAAATCACAAGGGAGACAAGGATCCCTCCCTTGTAACAAAGGGCCCATCACCTCACCTCCAGTATCTGTCTGAAGTCCAGGTTCAATGTGCAAAGCTTAAAATCATTCCTTATGAATGCCAGCCAAACATGCATGGCAGTTAGGTGCTCATCAGCACAAGGACAGCATCCTTGTCCCCTCATCGCTGGTGAGAGGGATACCCAGCAGGCACTGGCTATTCAGGGTAAGGGCTCTCTGGCTGGACCTAACCAAACTTCGGCTAAGGTCAGTCAGGACTGGGATCATTTTCCACCCCTTCTCTTTCTGGGTTTCACCACCAATTCCACCATGAAGCTGAGAAAGCTTTTGAACAAACCTGCTGCATCTCCACTAAAGAAGTTTTTGAAGAGGTCATGGATTAGCTCTGATCATCATCACTGTTGGCTCTATGAGTGAATACATTTCTTTGCAATTTTGGAAAAAGAAGAAAGGAAACTGAATGAAGAAATCAACATATGGGTTAAACTTGTGAGCGGAAAATAACAGTAAGAATAGATTTTGCCCTATGATTTGCCCTATAGCCAACCAAAATCCACTTATGGTGACATCAGTGAAAATACAAGGCACTTAATAGCAGGTCAGGTGAGATGTTACTCAGAAAGTATTGTACATTGCAAATGTTATGTAGAAAGATAAAACACTTGATTAACTGATTCTGGCAGCCTGGCACACTAAAAAAAAGAAAAATTAACTTATATCCTACAATCCTCAGCAATTACAGTGTACTTAATCTGGATTTTTTTTTTTAATAATATAACTGTACAAAATTATTTGAGAGTGGAATCATTAGCAACAAGACGACAGAATCATTAACAAGCCAGGGAAAAAAGAATTAGTTGGTAGATACCATTATTACACACTCAGATGCTAGTAGTGGCTCCTTGAAATTACAGCTGATGGTACAAGGTTGAAGCTGGTGCTGTGGATAAACAGAAGCGCTAATGCACAGAGGAGAAGTTTTTCTACAGACTCACTTCATCCTTCTGTAGAACCATGACAGTCTTCCTAAGAAAAGTGGCCAGCTTTAGGCCAGAAGGAACTGCCCAGGGAAGATGCCCCAAATCAGCCAGATCCCTAGCCTTGCTCCCTGGGAATGAGGAGCACCCACAAGGATGCATTTTGTGGCACTGCAGAGGTAACAGCCAGACATATCCAAAGCACAGGTTTGGGGCTTACATGTTCTCTGAACCTACTCAGCTATGTGAAGTGTCTGAAACCTTGACCTCACACTCATTTGTGAGAGGTGAAGGAGAGCCAAACCCCTGCTGCTCTCTGGGGTGATGGGACTCAGCATGACACCTCCAGACCTGGAAGTCATCTATTCCTCATGCAAGGATCATCTACCCTCATGTAGTTAAGGAGTTAATACTAACCATATGGTTGACTACAGCAATGTAGTGGTTTGAGACTGGTCGGCAGCCAACCACCACGCAGTCACTCTCTCTCCCTTCCCTTCCAGCAATAAGAAGAGACAGAGAGCCAGGCTTGGGGTTCAAGATAAGACTGGGATGGAGGAAAATCACCCTTTATGGTCACGAGCAAAAGGCAGACTCATTAGGGGAAGGAAAAAAAGAACATACATTTATTACCGACACTAACAACACTTAACAGAGTAGGACAGTGAGAAGCATTGCCACATCTTGAGAACACCTTCCCCCCACCGCTCACTTCTTCCCAGGCTCAGTTCTGCTCCCAATATCTCTACCTCCTCCCCCCAGTGGCAGAGGGGCAGGGAATGGGGGGTGCAGTCAGTGCTGCTGATACTTCCATCTTCAGTGGGGGGAGCTTCTGGAACTTGTTCCCCCTGCTCCATCGTGGTCCCCCTCTCACAGGAGACAGTCCTCCACAAAATTTCTCTGAAGTGAGTTCCTCCCACGGGCCGCAGCATTCCCCACACTGCTCCATCATGGGTCACTAACTTTCTCTGACTGGATTCCATCCCACAGGCTGCAGCCCTTCCCGAGCTGCTCCGGTGTGGGACACCCCCACACACTGCAATCCTCCCAGTGCTGAACTACAACAGCGGGGCTACCTTTTCCCACAAGACCCCGGCCTTCTTCAGGCACAGCACCTTGATCATCCAGGCAAGAAACACAGGCCATAAATCAATGTCTGCTCCACCGTAGATCTTCATGGGTGGCAGGGGGGGGCCGCCCTGCCATCTCACTACAGGATACAGGGGGGTCTCTGCTCCGGCACACCTCCCCCCTCCTTTCTTCCTCCATTCCTCCACTGACCTTGGTGTTCATGCAGTTGCAGCAACTCCTCCTCACAAGTCTGACTGCACGTCACCACGTCCCTTCTTAAATACATTATCACAGAGGCGCAGCTGATTGGATCAGTTTTTGGTGCAGAGGTGGAGCTGACTTGGAGCTGGGGGAGCTTCAAGAAGCCAAGAAGCTTCTCACAAGGGGCCACCCTTATAACCCCCTCCCCTGCCACCAAAAAAACTCTACCACTCACTCAACCCAGGACAAGCAATTATTACAAATACAATGTCTAATGAAGGCAAAAGTACAGTAAAATAATTAGACTTAATTATGACATTCACATTTCAAATTATGTTTCACTTATCCTCTGTGAAAGATGAAAAATTCCTCCTGAAATAGAGCAAGTTTAAACTTCCTCTGCATTCCCCAAAGGGATTTCCTGCAGTGTTGGATGGAACAGGGGGATGTGTTTATGAAGTCCCAGAAGGTGAAACTACATGAGACAACCAGGTTGGTTTGTTTTGGTTTTTTTTTTTTTTTGCCCATCCACAACCTTTTCTTTTTACAGGTAACTTTCCCTCCTGCCCCAGCACCCTCACAGCTGGACTGGAATATTCAGAGGTCAATAAGGACCCCAGAAAAATTCCCCAGGTCCTTCAGTCCCTGTGTTATTTCACACATTTGAACCTAGAACCCTCACACCAGCATCGCTCAGGAGGGTCTCTTTGGACTTCCTTCTAATGTCAAGTATGACCCAGATCTCTCTCAAGGGCAGCCCCATCTTCCACTACTTGAAGAGCTCCTCCTTCTTCTTTGCTTCCCTTAGCACTCACATCTGGCCTGAGTCAATTTTAATTTACAAATAGCAGTCTCATTTTAGAAGTTTGTAGCACATACTTGCACATAAAATATTGGCTGCAATGGGAGAGGGGAGTTTGGGGATGGTGTATTCGTCACAGTGTTCAAAATTCTAGCTGTATTGATTTGCTCAATTCATTTTACAGTGCTATTTTCATTAGCTAATCCTGGGGAGTTTGCTGCACTGTATCTATTAAGTACACACTTACACACACATACATTCAGAGTGGGAGAGGACAGATTTCATTAAAGTGCACCACAGATGGGAAGGTATCCAAGTCACTTCCAATACATTATATTAGCTCAACCGGAGGTTTTTCCTTCGAGTTCACATAGTTCATGGTTAAAGCTTTTCTTTTGATGGCCTGACTCAGGCACTCCAGTATGTGCTTCATGATCACTGCCTGCTAGCTGGGAAATATTTATGCTATGCGGCTTAAACTTCGGCATGAAAATTATTTTGACAAAATACACAGTAAGAGCACTTGGTCTGCTCTACTTTGTGTCAATATGAAAGTGCTTTTCATGTGGCTTCTTGCTTTATTCACTGTAACAACTCAGTGGGAACCTGCAGGGTTAATCATAACCTGTGTATGAATGGATGCTCTTCACATTACCTGAAGTCATTTCTTCTGCACAAAGT